GAGAGTAGGTTGATCAGTCTCGGAAAAAGGAAGGTCAGAGCTGTGCGGGGTTGGCGGACGTAGAGCAGATAAAATGGACTGTATCACGTTGTTTCGTGCTGTGCTGTTATAAATGTCAAAATCGTTATAAAAGTTATAAATGTTATAAAAGTTATAAATATAAAAGTTATAAAAGTTATAAATGGCAAAATCGCGTCCCATGTTTTGTGTCCAGAATCAACATACATTGAAATCATGTTGACGAGAGTCCTATTAGTTCGTTCCGTCAAACCATTAGCCTGCGGGTGATACGGGGTAGTGTGACGAAAATGGCACGAAGCAAGACGAAGGAGGTCTTCAACCACATCGGCAACGAATTGCCGCCCGCGATCACTGATGATGACACGGAGGGATCCATGGCGTAACATAACGTGTGACAGTATGAACTGTGAAACTTGAGTGGCCGTTGCCGCAGGAATCGCCGCAGTTTCGGCGTAACGTGTGAGGTGGTCAACGCCCACAATAATCCATCGGTTGCCGTTCGTTGATCGCGGAAAAGGGCCGAGCAGGTCGACACCTGCGACGTCAAATTGTGAACTTGGGCGTGCTATGGGATGAAGTAGTCCGGCTGGCGGAGTTGTAGGACACGTGTGGCGTTGACATTGCTCAGAGCTCGCAACGTATGCAGTCAAACTTTTACGCATCATCGGCCAGAAGAAGCGTTCTTGCGTGCGATAAAATGTTCTAGAAAAACCCATATGGCCAGATGTTGGGTCGTCGTGCATTGCTCGAAGTACGTGTTGTCGTAGACTTGTAGGCATAACTAGAAGTAGGCGAGGGCCTACGCCAGAATAATTCTTTTTGTAGAGAACGCCATCCTTTACGACAAAACCACGTTGACCGTTCGTTCCGGAAATAAAGAAAGAAGTGAGACTGTTGTCATTGCGTTGCTCTGCTCGAAAAGTTGTTAGGTCAGGAAACGGACAATCCACTACAGCCAAATTATTCATCAAAGTTGTCAGCGTCACACTCGGTTGTCGGAAGAGGAAGTCGTGAAATGCAATCGGCGTCGGCATGACGACGACCGCTCTTGTAACCGACTTCAAAGTCGTGTTCTTGCAATCGTAACGCCCAACGAGCAAGACGACCAGATGGGACCCGTAGTCCAGTGAGCCAACATAAAGAATGGTGGTCCGTGACAATCAAGAATCGGCGTCCATATATATAAGGGCGAATTTTGTGCACGGCGAATATGACCGCGAGACATTCCTGCTCTGTGAAAGTATAGTTTCGCTCCGGTTTACTTAAACAGCGACTGGCATAGGCAACGACGTGTTCAGCAGCTCCATGGCATTGGACCAAGACGGCGCCAATACCTACACCACTGGCGTCGGTATGAACTTCTGTGGCAGCAGATGGGTCATAGTGGCGAAGTGCGGGCCCTGACGTAAGAACAAACTTCAGTTGCAAAAAAGACGACGCGTATTCCACTGACCACCGAAAAGGTGCGTTCTTGTTGAGTAGGGACGTCAAACGGTAAGCGATGTTGGCGAACCTGAGCACGAAGCGACGGAAGTACGAGCACAGGCCCAAAAAGCTTCGCAACTCTCGTACCGACTGAGGTTATTCAAAGCTGCTGACTGCAGCGACTTTCTGGGGGTCGGGTCGAACGCCATGCTTGTCCACCAGGTGACCGAGAACGAGAGTCTCATGGCTGCCAAAGTGACACTTCTTAGAGTTCAGGGTGAGCTTAGCTCTTTCAAGGCAGGTGAGAACAATGTCTAGACGATGCTAGTGTTCATCGAATGTACGGCCAAAAATTATAACGTCATCCAGGTAGCAAAGACAAACTTCCCACTTTAGGCCACGTGACACAGAGTCCATGAGGCGCTCAAACGTGGCTGGAGCGTTGCATAGGCCAAACGGCATTACATCGAATTCAAATAGACCATCTGGGGTTATGAAGGCCGTTTTCACTTTGTCATTCGGGTGCATGGGGACTTGCCAATAACGAGATCTTAAATTCACGGAGGAGAAGTACGATGCCGAATGTAAACAATCGATGACATCATCAATCCTGGGAAGCGGGTAGACATCCTTTTTAGTAACAGAGTTGAGCCGTCTGTCAATCCACGCAGAATCGCCATGTACCTTCCTTCTTTCGGACAAGAATCACAGGGGCAGCCCAAGGGCTACACGACTCTTGGATGACCCTTTTCTTTAACATCTCTTCTACCTGTTGAGTAATGACGTTGCGCTCCGCAGATGAGACACGGTATGGTTTCTGCCGGATAGGGTGAGCGGATCCTGTGTCAATCCCATGGCGAGTACGCGACTCGGGTACGCTTATTTGCTCTTCTTTCTGCGCAAAGTCAAATATAGTAGCGTGCTTCGCAAGGACTTCAACCAAAGCTTGAGGTTTTTTTGATGATAGCGACTTGTTTACCATACTCAGAACGTTGGCTTCTGTATGGTACGTTGCACTGAATAGAATATACTCTCTCGTCGCTTAAAGATGCAATAAAACTGCTCGCATTTTGTTCGAAGAGGGCGAGTCGCATTCCGCAGGGTAGCATAACAGTTTCATTTGAATAGTTCGACACCCATAAGGCCGATCGCCTATCACTGATCGACAGAACACAATGTAGAACGAGCAAATTTTTCTTGGCGCAATTGAGAGGAATGGGCTCCACAAGAGCATCAAATTTTCCGGCGTCCGAGACAGAGGCGTCAACGCGTACGGTCTTCATCGAGTTGGGTGGCAAGACAACATCCTCAATGACGGTTATAGATCCTGGACAGTGCCTAGGATCGTCAGTAAATGCCGATAGCATAATCTCGCCAGCACCGCAATCTACAGTAGCCCCGCACTCGCGTAGAAAATCGATCCCCAAGATGATGTCATGGGTGGAGCTGGTCAGGACAGCGAATTCAGCCTCGAAGACCTTGTCACCCAAAGTGACACTAACAACACTTACACCGATGGGGCACAGTGTCTCCCCGCTCACTGCACGAAATGCTGCACAACTGTCCCAGCGAAACATTACTTTATGTCCTAGCTGCTATTTGAAGTTAAGACTAATCACTGAAATAGCTGCTCCAGTATCTATCAAAGCCATCGTAGGAAGTCCATCAATAAGCACGGGGACCCTATTTTGCGTCATAAACATGGGTAGAGGCAAAGGCGGGTGTAGTGAAAAATGTTCGGCGACCTCCCCTCCATTGGTCGCACCACCTAGTTTCCCGGAGGCGGGGAGGTCACGCGTCGACCAGGAGATGGGGAACGGAGCCGGCGTGTTGTGTGGGGCGTCAAGCTTCGCAGGTAGGAAGGCGAGTCGTTGCGTAAATTCCGGTGGAAATTGCGTCCTACATGTGTATCACTGTGGGATCGTTTGCTGGAAGTCCTCCCCAACGTACGCGTCCCGCATCTAGCGCATGACACCGCGCCAGCTGTTTTGTCGAGAAGAAGCTGATTGTCCCTCGCAGTAGCGCTGCTGGGGGCAACGCCTGTGACCACAGAATCGAGCCACATGTCCACGGAAACCGCAATTATAGCACACAGGGGCCTCACGCACGTCGCGAAACGTTCCACGAGGCGCCATGTGCCCATATTCGTCCCACGAAGACACCATTGTAGGTGGTTGGCGGGAGGCGTTCTGCAAACCATGGCGATGATGTAAGTTGTTGGTTGGGGGCTCTGGTGCTCTTGATTGGGGCACATCATATAGCGTGGCATCAACGGCAGCACACATTGCGTCGTATTCTGCAGTTTATTGTATATAAACTGCAGTATTCTGCAGTTTATTCTGCAGTTTATATATATGCAGTTTTCTGGCTATCAGCTTCTGCCATTGGAACCTGCCAGTATCCAGGTCGTAAGTCTAAGGAGGAGAAGAATTCGGCTCCTTGGAGGCTGTCAAGGGTGTCGTCGATGCACGGTGATGAATAGACGTCTTTCCGCGTCACCTTGTTTAATCGCCGGTAGTCGACGCAAAATCAAACCGATCCGTCCTTCTTTCGAACTATAACAACAGGAGGTGCCCAAGCACTGTGCGATGGTTGAATAACGTGACGGCGTAGCATCTCTTCGACCTGGTTGTTGACGTGACGTTCTGCAGCAGAGACACGGTATGGTCTTTGACGTATAGGCTGGTGAAAACCGGTGTCAATGTAGTGGTGCACTTAGGAAGTGCGACCCGATTGTGGCTGAGAAACGTCGAATGTATTCGCGAAGTGCGGGAGGAGAATAAGAATCTCGGCGCGTTCATGAGTACTTAAGGTGTCAGCGATGGAACTCGACAAGATGCCATTCGACGAGCATTTCAGTGAGGAAAGGGCATGAAATTCGGTCGAGGCGATACTGCATGACTCGTGTGGCATGTTAAGGAATAAAGAAGAATCAAGGTACTCCACTCGACCGAGGCATTCGCCGGCAAGTAGCGTAAGCGGTGCGGAAAGGGGGTTGAGGACGAAAATATTGCTTCGGCAGCCGTGACGTCAAGTTTAGGGAAAGGCAAAGAAACGGCTCTGAGGCTCTTGAAAATGTCGGAAGGTGTAAACATTATCGTAGCATCGTTATGGTCATCGCAGCAAATAGGGAAAACTGGCAAGAGAGGCTGGCGGAGTTTCAGTGTTCTCACGCACGACGAGTTTTGGTGACCGCTCAAGAGTTTCGTGCAAAGGTTCATCACACAGGTGCGAAAATTGAACTTCAGCAGCGTGCGCAGTCGATGACGGCATGATGATGTGACAGAAAGTTCTACCCGAGGATAACGTCATGCGAGCACACCGAAAGGACGATGAACTCGACGACGTACATAGAGCCTTGGATGATTATGCGGGCCGTACAGGTCCCGAGAGGTCGAACTGGTTGTGCGCTAGCCGTACGAAGCGATAGTCCAGAGAGCGGTGTGGTCACTTTGCGTAGGGAGTGGCAGATCTGGGCGGCTATAACAGAAACAGGATCACCTGTGTCGACGAGGGCAAAGGTAAAAACACCATCGACAGATATCGCGACGCCGTTAGCAGGTGAAGCGCGAGGAATTGAGCATTTCGACGACGGCGCAGTTCTTGCCTCTGGAAATGCGGCTTTCAGTTTTTCCGGTTGGAGGAAGCGGGTCGGGGGCGCATTGTGGACCGTGATCACCTGCGAGGAGACGGGGAGCGGGGAGAGTGAGTCTGAGAAGGTGGCTGGCGTGACTGAGACTCGGGAAGGTTACTGTAGCCATACTGTGGTGAGCGATAGGGAGCAGGTGAGTGCATGGGATGTGGGTCATAAGATAATGACCGAGTAGCTTCGTGGAGTGGTTGGAAGCGACGGCGACAATTTTGTGCCACCTGTCCTGGAGTACCGCAGGCGTAGCAGATCGGGCGATTGTCAGGAGTGCGCCAGGAATTGTTGACTCGCGGTACGGCCCAAGGTGTCGAAAGAGGGGCGGAGTGGGGAGCAACTGAAGCCATGGGTGGCAAATGCTGCTGGCGGGGTCTGCTGCGTACCACCTGGACATACGTAAGAGGTGCGGCCACGGGCTGCATAGCCGGCGCATGGGGAACAGGCATGACCGCAGGCTGCTCTGGTGGGCAGCGATGGGAACAGCCTGAGCTACCTCGTCAGTAATAACGTCGCGGAGTGGTGAGGGCAGACGAGAGCATGGCGGCTGCTGCGTGAAGGGAATCAATGACAGTTGCCGAGCTACTTCTTCACCCACAAAGTTTTAATCTCTTGCAGGGTTGGTGAGGGATCGAGAACAGAAGTAAGGCTGGAGAGCGAGTCGGCATTGGAGGAAAATGGCCGAGTCTGGGCGCGCTGCTTCGTCAACTCGTCGAAACTTTGACATAAACTGACAAGTTCCGCAACGGTGGCTGGATTACGGGCCAGGAGCATCTGAAATGTGCCGTCATTTATCCCTTTGAGGATGTGCTGAATCTTCTCCGACTCGGGCATGGTGGTGTTCACCCGGTCGCAAAGACCAATAATGTCTTCGATGTAACTGGTGAACGATTTCGATGGCTTCTGTGCGCGAGTCCGCAAGCGTTGTTCGGCTCTAGACTTGCGGACAGCGGGTCGGCCAAAAACGTCAGCAACGCTTTGAAGATGGACCACGTGGTGATGTCGTTTTCCTGGTTTTTGTACCACATTTTGGCCACGTCAGTAAGGTAAAAGATGACGTTAGTCAACTTGTGCACGTCATCCCACTTGTTGTTTGCACTCACCAGTTCGTAGTTGGTGAACCAGTCTTCCACGTCAGTCTCATCAGCTCCGCTAAAGACCTTGGGCTCTCGCGAGCGAAGAACGCCGGTGTTGATGGAGGATGGAGTTGAAGATCCAGGTTGCGCACTGTTGCTGGCCATGATGGGAGGTAGCGTTCAATTGCGGAGCTCTAGGTTTAGGCGACGGCGAGTGGCAGCACCCAGGTTCAGGCGACGGGGAACGTCAGCACCCTCCACCAATTGAAAAGGGGTTTATTGCCGTGTGCTGCGACAGTGGCCCTACGATGAAAACACGATCAAGACAGAGCAACGGTCAAGCAGATGCCGGCAACGATCAGCACGAGGCGAGCGAGCGAAGCCCACAACCCGGTACCCAAGCGGTGGCGATGTTGCTTGCAAATGATGCGTTTTCTTCTTCTTCAATATATATATATATATATATATATATATATGTATATAGATAGATATTGTGATGAGCGAGACAGAGAACAAGAGACAACACCCGATCCTGGGCCAGCTGTTCTTATTCTCTACTTCGTCTTCCTCGCTCGCCTAGCATGTGCGTCTGTGCCAGAGTGCCAGTTTCGGTCTTCGTCGTCACACTCGGCCATGACTGCAAGCATTGTCGATGGGCCACACGACAATGTTCATGTGGGTGAGGCTAGCTGCAGCAATTGACATTGCTTCAGGTGGGCGGGGTTGGCTGCATCGTCGTGGTCGGCCCCGACCACGCTGGAAGTTTGTCGAAATTGGCTCCGGCGGCCGACACTAGCTATGTCGCCCTGGTCATTCGCCATGTCGTGGTGGGGACTGGGTCTTGGTTGGTCCCTTTGTTGATGGTGACTCCGCGGAACGACAGTGACTGTCGCGTGGCAGTCTACAGCCTCGGCCATGCTGCGACTTTTCAGAGAAAGTAGTTCGACTCCGGTTTTCCTTTGGTGGACCGAGCAGGAATTCTCGTGGTAGACGTTTCCTGCGGTGGTGTGGTTTTCTTGGAGGTGGTTCTGGCGGGTGGCCCCGACTGGATCGACATGGTCGCAGGTTGATCACAGAACGCTTTCCTTTGTCCCACCATATTTTACAAAACAGGGCAGGAAATGGTGGATCCGGCAACGAAACGAGTAGCATCTTGTGCAGCCGTCTACGCAATTTTCTGCGGATCCAGAGATGTTTTTCGTGCGATTATACATCTGCACGAACTTGGGATGAAGTCCTCGTGCTGACCTGTGACATGGCTCCTGCGCCGTGACTTGCGTAGTTCGTGACTTGCGCAGCTTTGTCGCTATGGGGCTCCCGGACGCTGTAAAGTTAGCGATTCTTGAAGCCACGCCGTGTACTGGCCGGAGATCCTCGACGGAAGCCGTTGCGAAAATCGGAGACTCTACCGATTCAGGCAGCGCATGCGTAGCACGCATATATTCTTCCGTCTGCTCAGATGGGATTGTTATTAGACTCAGCAAAAAGACCTGTCTCATTAGTTGGTAGAATGTTAAGTAGGATGGGGGCCGGTGCCTCTACGTCGACCGGACGACCTGCGTTGGGGCCTCTTGTGGAGTGTTGCGCAAAGCTTGCCATCAGGGACCCGCCGGACACAGCTGCAGCGTCGGGCCGGTGCTCCTCAGGAGCTCTAAATACGACAGCAGAAATGTCTGTGCAAGGCAGAGTTGCGTGATCGTGATTGTTCCTTACTTCTTGGTCACCGAGTGATGACAGGATGGTAGGGGCTCGAATCGCACCCTCTAGGTCAGGCTTTTCCCGAGTTCCGTCCTGAGAGAAGGTCGAGTTACATGGGCAGGTGGCACAGGGAATCGGACCGAAAGCAGCTATGAGTTTGACGCTCCACTCCGCCCATGACTGCTGCTTCCAACCTTCATACCGGTGCCACGCCGCTGCACCTTCCCGAACACGGCCTATGGCCACATACCATTTCAGATTATCTGTCCAGGCCGCGCGCATTGCTAGCGCGTTGACGGTTGCCACCCAGCTGTCGGCGTCGTTCCGGACCCTGTCGATTTCCAGCAGTTTGTAGGTGGACGGCGATGGTGGGGCTGCACGTGAGAATGCTGATATCACTGAGGCAACGCCATTGAGCTGGTCTGAGAGCTGCAGGAGGGTGCCCCAAAGCTGCCTGCGTTGTTCCAATAGGCTTGCCTCAAGGTCGTGCGAGGCAGCTACATCCAACGCGGCGTTGGTGGCACGCAATTCTGGCAACATTGTAGGAGCTTGCTTGGAGATTGACGCTGTCTGTTCGTTAGTCTTGACGCGGAGTAGCGCGATGGTACGCCGCAGGTTCGCGGCGCTGTCGTGTGTGAAGTCCGAAGCGTTGGTGATCGCAGTCTTCGAATGAGTAGCATTTGCAGCACTCACGCCGGTTAGGTTGATGAGCAGAGAATCCTGGACGGCGTTCCCTGGCAGCTCGTATGTAGAAAGAGTGCGGCAACGGGAATGTAGACCATGAGAAGCGTGAGTGGTATTCCCAAAGGACCGGAGTCGGTGCGGATTCCCTGCCGTGAAACGGTGGCAGGGTTTCAATCAGGTCATGGCCTAGAACCACAGGGGAGGCCTGGACTGCCGTCCACAGGTGGTCTGAAGGGTGGCTGAAGCGGCGGGTGGGAACCCATCGCTAAGGAAGCGTGAACGGCGTTCCTTGATGGAGAAGCCCGCACTGCCGACGAACCACGAAGACACGTACTGGTGGCGTGTACTGCAGCCGCCGAGGAACCCTTGACGCCGTCTCCGAACGGTGGTGGCACTGGCGGCAGGTGAACAGCTGCCGAGGAGGCCTCGACGCCGTCCTCAAGCGCCGCTTATCACGGCTGTCCAGGATGACAAAGCCGGGACGTAAGATTTTCTTCTTCGTCGACTGCGCCATTGTGATGAGCGAGACAGAGAACAAGAGACAACACCCGATCCTGGGCCAGCTGTTCTTATTCTCTACTTCGTCTTCCTCGCTCGCCTAGCATGCGCGTCTTTGCCAGAGTGCCAGTTTCGGTCTTCTTCGTCACAATATATATATATGGTAGCCTTTCGGACCCTCAATATTCTTCTTTATTGTCTCAGTTATGTACCCTACTACCCAAACTGGAGTGGTGATGACGAGTATGTACAGATGAAAAGACGGGCCGCGTAAATATTGCTCGCAATTATGTTCCTTGCACACTGGAGTGGCCGGCCTGGCCGAGGTTGAGGCGGGAAATGTACGGCGAACAAATGGTTTCAGACGGGAAACGTGGACTATTTCAGAGGCCCGGTAACGACAGCCCCAGCAATACTCCACGGGAATGACACCGTAGTTGAGAGACGTTCGTTCACGAATAACGTAAGGTCTGAGAAAGCATGACTAGCGTTTTACACAATCTGGGTGTACAAACAGGTGTCCAAAGTAATACTTCATCTCCAGGACGAAAGCTGACGTCTCAACAAAGCTGTCATGGCGTTGCTTGCGGTCTTGTTGCCAGGCCTCCGTGCTCAACCGAGCATGTTAGGCACATATGCTCGGTTGAGCCCGATTTGAAACGCAAAGTACTCACCGAAATCTTTGACAAAAAGCTTCATGTTCCTTGCAGGTCAGTTTGTAGGATACATAGGATCGGAAAGCCAGGAAACCAAAGACCAGTGATTATATTCTTTCAGGATTTCAATGAAAAAGAGCAAGTTTTGATGAACGCTAATAAACTGAAGGGTACCGAGGTATCTATCCAAAATGATTACTCGAAAGAAACACTGCGCAAACGCAAGCTACTCTGGGAGAGCGCAAAAAATGAAAAACTGCAGGGAAAGAAAGTAGCCCTTGTACACGACAAAGTTCGAGTAGACAAAGAAAAATTCGTATGGGACGATATCACAAACTCTCGAATTAAACTCGGCGCTTCTCCGAACAGAAAATTCTGCGCTTGACCAAGATCCCCTGAGGATAAGCAGCTCCGTCTTTGAAAC